CTAAGGCTGCGGCTCTGCCTCTCCCAGATGGAGTCAGCAAAAACATTTTAAACTTTAAGTACCTCACTGCCCTGCTTCAAAATAAAGGTGAGACCCTGGGAAGGGGTCAGAAAATATGGAGATGATAATGGGAAAGGAGAAAAGGGAGAAAGACCCAGAGGAAGAGTACCTATGTAGGTACATGGACCAAAAAGTAATTCAATGGGAGAGTGAAGAAGTGTCTGGCAGCATTTTCTAGATTCTGAACATGTCTATGAATGTCTAAAAGTTTTTGATCTGGTAAAATGAACCATTACCTGCATACTCACCCAGAGTTTGTGGCCCTAATTCTGGGGATCTGTATATATCCTGAGGACACATGGACATACACACACACACACACACACACACACACACAATCAGAAGCAGAATCTGTATTTCATTAACATGCCTTGGGCATTTCTTTCTGCACCCATGTCTTCTCCATTTTGTCAGCTAGAAAGTATGCTTGAGGGTTGTAAACTCTTAGCTACAGGGGCCGGTGTATCATAAATGTGTAACGTAGGCTGAATGTATGAAGTTAAATGACAACAGACACTTGTGTTCTGTGTCAGGGAGACACAGAAAGTGATGAGCACTGTGGTGAACTGGAGGGAGCATGTTGCCCACCTTAAGACGGTAGCTTCTGTTCACCTCTATTCTCATATCATTTTCCTGTTGTCACTGTAACAAATTATAACAAACATGATAGCTTAAAACAACACAAATTTGTTACCTGCCAGGGCTGGAGTTCTGAAGTCCAAAATGAGCCAGGTGGGCTGGGCACAGTGGCTCATGCCTGTAATCCCAGCACCCAGGGAGACCGAGGCAGGCAGATCCCTTGAGCTCACGAGTTCAAGACCAGCCTGGGCAACATGGTGAAACCCCGTCTCTACTAAAAATACAAAAAAAACTAGCCAGGCCTGGTGGTACGCACCTGTAGTCCCAGCTACTCAGGAGGCTGAGGTTGAAGGATGGTCAGAGTGCCACTGCACTCCAGCCTGAGACAGAGCCAGGCCTTGTCTCAAACAAAAACAAACACAAAACAAAATGGGACTGGGTGTGACAGCTCACACCTGTAATCACAGCACTTTGGGAAGCTGGTGCAGATGGATCACCTGAGGACAGGAGTTCGAGACCAGCCTGGCCAACATGGTGAAACCCTGTCTCTACTAAAAATACAAAAATTAGCCAGGTGTGGTGACATGAACCTGTAATCCCAGCTACTTGGGAGACTGAGGCAGGAGAATCACTTGAACATAGGAGGGGGAGGTTGCAGTGAGCTGAGAGCTGAGATGACGCTACTGGACTCCAACCTGGATGACACAGAGAGACTCTGTCACAAAAGCAAAACAAACAAAACAAATGGGCCAGGTGCAGTGATTCATGCCTGTAATCTCAGCAGTTTGGGAGGCCAAAGCAGGAGGATAGCTCATGGCCAGGAGCTCTAGACAAGCTTGGGCAACATAGTAAGACCCCATATCTACAAAATATATAAAATGTGTGTATGTATATCTATATATACATATACATATATATATAGAGAGAGAGAGAAAAAGAGAGAGAGAGAGAGAGAGAGAAAGAGAGAGAGAGAGAAAGAGAGAGAGAGAGAAAGAGAGAGAGAAAGAGACAGTTTTTGCTCTGTCACCCAAGCTGGAGTGCAGTGGCTCTATCTCGGCTCACTGCAACCTCCACCTCCTAGGTTCAAGTGATTCTCCTGCCTCAGCCTCCAGAGTAGCTGGGAATTACAGGAGCCTGCCTAATTTTTGTATTTTTAGTAGAGATGGAGTTTCACCATGTTGGCCAGGCTGGTCTTGAACTTCTGACCTCAAGTGATCCGCCCACCTCGGCCTCTTAAAAGTACTGGGATTACAGATGTGAGCCATTGCACCCAGCCATTATACACACACATATATATATATATATATATACACACACACACACACGTGTGTATATATATATCATATATGTGCGTGTGTGTATATATATATACATATGTATGTGTGTGTGTGTTTGTGTGTGTGTGTGTGTGTGTGTGTGTGTGTGTGTAGCTGGGTGTGCTGGTGCCTGTCTGTAGTCCCAACTACTAGAAAGGCTGAGGTGAGAGGATTGCTTGAGCCTAGGAATTTGAGAGCAATGTAGCAGTGAGCCATGATGGCACTGCAAATCCAAATGAAGAATCTGCACATTGGGCAAGAGAGCAAGACTCTGTAAAAAAAAAAAAAAAAAAAAAAAAAAAAAAAAAAGGAAACCAAAGGATCAAAGGGTCTTGCAGAACTAAAATTTGGAAATTCTAGGGGAGAATCTATTCCATGCCTTTTCTATCTTCTAGAGGCTGTCCATATTCTTTCACTCATGGCCCCTATTCCTCTTCAAAGTCAACAATCACCTAATTCTGACCTGTACTTACTTTTGACTTCTTTATTTTTTAATTTTTATTTTTTGGTAGAGACAGGGTCTCACTATGTTGCCCAAGCTGGTCTCAAACTCCTGACTTCAAGTGATCCTCCCACCTCAGCCTCCTAAAGTGTTGGGATTACTGGCATGAGCCACCGAACTGGGTCTGACCTCTTCTTCTTTGACTCTGACCCTCCTGCCTCCCTCTTTCACTTATAAAGGCCCTTGAGATTACATTGGGCCCACCTGGGATAAACCAGGATCATCTCCTTATCTCAAGATCTTTATCTTAATCACATCTTCAAAGTCTTTTGCCATGTAAGGTAACAGTCATAGGTCCTGGAGATTAGGATGTAGACATCTTTATGGGGAGCATTCTTCTGCCTACCATCTCTGAAGTGAAACAATTCATCTGACACACACTTAGCAAATGTGTACCAGGCATGCTAAGCACTATGGTAGGGGCTACAAAGATGAATAAGACACAGTCCTTACTGCCAATAGTTTGCTATCTATAATAGTAAGATGTACATGTACGCAAACAACTACAGCATGATGTGCTTTATGCACTAAAATGTCACAGCTACTTACACAGTGCCTTGATGTGAATATGCACATCCCTAAACTCATGTGATACACATAATCCAAAGTTGTTACCCAGGTTTTACAAATGAAGAATCTGCACCTGAAGGTCAAAGGGGTTTAGGATTTTTCCTAAGAAAGCTCAAGTCTCTTACTACATTTATTCTGCTTGGGTAGGGGTCCAAAAGGAGGGTCCAAAGAGGGTCAGGGAAGGTCTGCAACCTCCCACCATGTGTCCTGTAATCACCACGGCTCCTTCCTTTGTAGAGATCATGACCTCATTCCCCAAAGCAGCCTCACTATATGACCTTGTCAGTTTTCTTTTTATGAGTGAGTCTTGTTCTCCCAATCAGATGGCAAGTCTATTGGGAAGAGAGACCTTGTCATATTTCACTATATTCCTTTCCATGCCTTGCCTAAGCTATTTTGTTGGTAGAGAGTTGCCATCACTAGTTCTTTCATGGTATTACGTTGTGTTGTCAGATGATGGGGGAGGGTCAGGCGAATCCTTTCCAAGTGATGTAGAGCCAGGAAGACAGGTTTCTTAAGGATGTGCAAATGAGCACACCTGGGGCACTGCCAGATGACTTTCCCCAGTGAAGGGAGACAATTAGACAATGTAAGGCAGGCTGGGGCGGTTGCTGAAGCCTGTAATCCCAGCACTTTGGGAGGTTGATGCAGGTGGATCGCTTGAGCTCAGAAGTTCGAGACCAATCTGGACAATAGTGAGACCTGGTCTCTAATAAAAATGCAAAAAATAAGCTGGGCATGGTGGTGCATGCCTGTGGTCCCAGCTACTGAGGAGGCTGAGGTGGAAGGATAAAGTAGAAGGATGGCTTGAGCCCAGAGACGGAGGTGGTAGTGAGCTGAGATTGTGCCACTGTACTCTAGCCTGGGTGTCAGCAAGAAACTGACTAAAATAAAAAGAGAGAGAAAAGGAAGGGAGGGAGGGAGGACAGAAGTAGCCTGAAAAGGTGGAGTGGGGAGAACGGAATGAAATATAGAAAGAAGGGCTTCTGCTGAGGCCTGGGGCTGAGATCATTAAGGTGTAGGGTGCAGATCCTGCCCTTAGCTTAGAAACAGAAGAGACCAGAAAAGTCAAAATCATCCAAGATATGAGAATCTCAATTTTCTTCTTTTCAGAGTCAACAGACAGTTTGACAGCTTACAACAATATTTCCTTTTGAAATATTCAAGTGTTTCAGTGAAACATTGAAACAAGTGATTCCAGAGAAATCACTGTCTCCTTTTCACCCACGAAAATGTCAAGGACTCAGTGAGGTTAAGTCACTTGCCCAAGGTCACACAGGGAAGCCTGGAGGCGAATCCAGGATCCTGAGGTCTCCGGGTCAACGTCCCCCGCAGTTCTGGCAGCAGGAGAACGGGCACATACCCACAACGAGGGCATCATAGTGACGGAGCTGATGACCCAGCCACTGACCTGCGGGTGGCCGGCGAGCCACGGCAGATTCCTGGGTCGGCCCCGGTAGACACGCTGCCTGGCTCGGTTCTGCAGGAGCGCCTAAGGAACCGGCACCCTGGGGCTCAGGTTGTGCAGCTCCAGGTCCTCGGCCTCCCACAGGCGTCAGCGAAAGCCTGCCGCCCCGGCCGGGGACCAGCAAGAGTCGGGCAGCTGGCAGGGGCTCCCTGGGGACCCACCTCAGCCGCGCAGCCGGCTCGAGTCTCCTGGGAGGCGGGGCCGGAAGGGCACGGGCGAAGGCCAGCCGCGGCCGCTTGGGAAGGACCGCCTCGCCTGCTACCGACCTAAGTTAGAACACCTGGATGACCGACGCCCCCAGGATGCAGGTGCAGGCGAGACTCTCCCAGCCACAGCACCCTGCGTCCCCGCGGAGGCCCTCGGGAGCCCAGCGTTTAGGCTCAAAACGGGGAAGGAGGAATTAAAGCCTGAGTCGCCACTCCTAATCCCAGCCCGACAGGTGAGGGACCCGCGAGCAGCTTAGGGAGAGGACCCGGCCAGGTTCAGCCCCTCGGGGCCAATTGCCCCTCCGGGAGGCGTGGCCTGTGGGCCGCCCAGCCCTTAGTGGGCAAGCGGAAAATGCGGGCCCCGCCCCCCGCATATAAGACCAGTGCAGCACTGCAGCTAGCGCAGTTCTCACTGAGACCCGTCACCCCGACTCAACGTGAGACGCACCGCCCGGACTCACCATGGTGAGTGCGGCCCTGCTTGGGTCGCGCCCCTCCCCTAATTGCTCCTCTCCTTTGGGGGACACTCCTTCCAAGCCTGCTCGGGGACCTCCACCGGGCGTTCCGGGTCTCCAGGAGGTGCGAAGGTTTTGCATCCTCGTTCCCCAACCCCCTCCTGGTGACTTTGGCCGAGTCCTGTAGTTCACCTTCGGTGGCTGGGGATGGGACTTGGGGTGGAGTGCGACTCTTCAGTAACAGAGAGGAACCCTGGCACTCTGCTCCTGCCTTACCCAGCATTTGTGTCCTGACTCTGGTTGAGAGTCACGCGGGCCCGCGCCCCGTCCTTTCCGCTGGCGAAAGAAGACCCGTTTCGCTGCCCTCTTCCATCCCCAGTCCCCGGTCCCCTGAATTGACCGAGCACGTGCTTGGCGTTAGAAGGTGGAGGTCAGGTTACCTAGTGCCGCATCCCCCTTTACTCTGTGTATGCATTCCAACTATCCACGGAACCCCCCGCCTTGACTCAGCACCCCGCTTCTGAGCTGAGAGGGGTAGTGGAAACGGGGTTCGGCCTCCTGAAGCTAGCCGGCGCTCTCCAGCCGGAGCCCGGGTGCGCGGATAGGCAGAGACAGCTGGTGCTGAGCACTGCGCGGGCCGAGGCCAGGTTGGGGGGAGGGGAAAGAGGTGCGTGTAGGGGGTGGTATTTATAGCTCAGGAGCGGGGGCCGAAACCCAATCCCCGCTTTGGGCCGGGAAGTAACTGGAAAGACTCCAGAGGGAGAGCGGATGTAGGGCTGGGCTGCAGAATGGCGCCCACCCGGCGCGGGGCAAGGCGGGTTACCTCTGGGGCCTCACCGCAGGTTCCGCTTCCTTTTCTGGGTATTTGGAAACCGTCACCCCGCCATTTCAGTGTGGGAAGGGAGGTGCGTGGGCCCTGCGGACTTTAGTGCTTTAGGGGTTAATTTCAGGCTGGCAGGGACGGAGCCTAAGGCAATTGTGCCCCAATACCCTCAAACCTTATTGCTGGCCCCTACCGTCTGCGCTTACAAGCATTACCGCTGCTACTTCCGTGCGGACTGACAGAGGAGATGAAAGTGGTGAAGACACCCAGGTTGCGGGGGTGGAGGTGGGGAGAGGAGCCAGATGGGATTGATCCCCAGAGCCAGATGGGATTTAAAGGTGAGGGAGGAGGGCATCCTGATGGCCTGTGGTCCGTTGATACCAGATTGGATGGCTGAGACACCTCTGCAGCCTACAGGAAAGAAAGGGGGAAAGGGTTCTATGAATTCTAGCTGTTCATACTCAAAGCAAATAATCAAGGGGTTGGCCTCTAGCAGTAAACCCATACCTCCAGGAACCCTTCTTTTGTCATGTGGAGCCACTGTGCTTACTTGACAGATTCCCCACTGAAAAGTGGGCTAAGAGGTTGGCCTGCCCTGCTGGGTGCCTCCAGGTGGGGAGTCCTGTACCCAGGAGCCCAGGCAGGCTGCTAGCCTCTTCTCACCTCTGCCCAGCCCCAAGCCTCCACTCTTGCCAACTGAGTCATCCTAGCTGGTAGGTGATAGGGTGGAAGAGGGACTTGCGAGGTGACGACTTGTGGATGTGGGACTAATGCTGTGTCCCCTCTCTCTATCCCTCAGCGTGAATGCATCTCAGTCCATGTGGGGCAGGCAGGTGTCCAGATGGGCAATGCCTGCTGGGAGCTCTATTGCTTGGAACATGGGATTCAGCCTGATGGGCAGATGCCCAGTGACAAGACCATTGGTGGAGGGGATGACTCCTTCACCACCTTCTTCTGTGAAACTGGTGCTGGAAAACATGTGCCGCGGGCAGTTTTTGTGGATCTGGAGCCTACAGTCATTGGTGAGAGGAAGTGGGGACAAAATTGAGGGGGTTGGAGCATGACTCAAAAGCTTCTCCCTGGAGAGAGGGTATTTAGACCAGGCATTCCTGGCCCTGAAAAATCCTAGCCGTATTTGAAGCTGCAGAAGGCAAGCTGATCTCAGACTGGCCTGGGCAGCCGGTCTGGGTTTCTCTCACACTCTGGTATCTCAGGCTGGCAGGAGGATCGAAGTCCTTCCATGCATCTGGCCACAGCCACCACCCGGGGGGGAGGAAGGTCTCTGCTGAGCATAGCCTTGTGGTTTTTGCCCTTCCAGATGAGATTCGAAATGGCCCATACCGACAGCTCTTCCACCCAGAGCAGCTCATCACTGGGAAAGAGGATGCTGCCAACAACTATGCCCGTGGTCACTATACCATTGGCAAGGAGATCATTGATCCGGTGCTGGATCGGATCCGCAAGCTGGTGAGAATTTGTCTGGGGAGGGAGGGAACTTTAGAGACTGTCCTACTGGTCAGGAGTATTTTTTTCAAATCCCTTTCAGGGGTCATCTCTAACTGTACATGGTCTCGAGTGTGGTACTGCTATGGCATCCTCAGTATGGCCCTGACTGCTGATATATTTATTTTATGCTTTATGGAGCCAGGTGATAGTCCCTTAGGCCCCTGCCTAAACTGTTCTTTCTCGTTCTTGCCTTATAGTCTGACCAGTGCACAGGCCTTCAGGGCTTCCTGGTGTTCCACAGCTTTGGCGGGGGCACTGGCTC